TTTTTACATTTGGGAGAGGGGTTCTAAGACTTTCTTCCACGCACACCAAGAATGACACCTGTGTGGTACACACCTGTCCCATTCTGGGAGGACCCAGGTGGGGTTTGCAGTTGGACCTGCTTCCTCATCTAACACTCCTGCAGGTAAGGTGGGCAGCCCAGGTGGCCGCACTCATCCTCTCCTGCGGGCCAGCCTCATAGAGTAGTCGGGGCGTGGTGATCCAAAGCTGCGCAGGCGGCAGGGTACAGCAGCCCTGCCACCGCCTGTCCACCTGCCTGGCCAGAGCAGGCTCCCAGGGCACTGCCACCAGCCTGTGGGAGAGGTGGGCGTGTGGTCTTGGTTCAGTTTCTAAGGTTCTGCTGGAAAAACGGACTACCACTGCCTTGTGCGCACCTCTGCCTTGGCTCAGAGCGCCTAGCTCCCGATGACACCCACACTGCCTCCTCCCCTCATCAATGTGGACTTTGTTTCTGCTTTCCTCTTCCTCCTTCATTCAGCTCAGTGCTGTCTGGCTGCACAGAAACGAGGAGGAAAGCTAAAAACATTTCTGGGGCTCCCTGGGCATCGCTTGAAAAGACGGAACCAAGCACACATTTAAAAAATTCTAACAGCAGATCTACGCTTCTGCGCTGATGCTGCAGAATAACATACCATCTCTAATTATTCCTACAAGCTTGGTTCAGCTCCACACAGTATCGTAACGTGGTGGGTCTGGGTCCTTCTTCAACACAACGTGTGGTGTGTCACAGGGCTCCGAGGCCCGTCTTCACACTGGGGTGTGCTGTGGTGACACACACACTCTCCAGGGGTGCCTGGTACACAAAAGCACTAAGCAAACAGATTTCTAAGTCCTTCACTTCCACTTCTCTCTCCTAAAACTCACTTGCCTGGTAAAGCACGAATCTGACTTCTTTCACGGTCGCCTTCTTCCCACTTCAGGAGCCAGCCTCTCACTGTCCCTCTGTGGCTCACTGCCCCAGGGTGGAAAAAGCTCCAAGTCCCCAAATACAGGGATTATTCCAGTAGCTGATGCTAAGAAAATGAATGACTCTAATGACGGGCTAATAATTTAAGTGGTTTCCAATTTTGGGCACGTAGGCTATTAAAATAATTTTTAATAATAGATCACTGATTTTTGGCATGTAATTCTGGAAGAGTTTAAAGACTGGAGTGACATGGCTATAACAAAAACTTCCAATTTCATCTACTTTCTTATAAGAACAACTTTTCTCAGCTCTTATGTTAAAAAGGACGGAGAAAAGAAAAATGGGAATAAAACTGATGCTGAACTTCTAGCAACAATCATCATCCACAAAAATATGGATTAATGGAGGAAAAAAATCCTATTGATCTTAACGGATATACTTCTCATAAGATTTTACTTTTTAAGTTTATTAATTTCTATCAAAATTTGTAATAGGTTTATATTGTTTTGATTAATTGTGTACTGATAACTAATGATAACTCAGACTTGAAGATGTTTTTAATAGTACCTTACAGTCCAGAAGAAGCCCTGGTGGCGCTGTGGTTAAGAGCTTGGCTGTTAACCAAAAGGTCGGCAGTTCAAATCCACCAGCTGCTCCTTGGAAATCCTATGGGGCAGTTCTAACTCTGTCCTATAAGGTCACTACGAGTTGGAATCGACTCGACAGCATCGGGTCTGTAGTCCAGAAAATAACATTCCAGTTTTAACTTAAGTATATATTTTTGGTTGCAGAGTATTTTAAAGGATAAAATCCTGTGGAAGGAAATAATGAATTCACAGAGAACAGAGAAAAAGAAACAACTGTAAAATTTTCAACTGTAAAAAAACAGATGATGGTGGGTATCCTTTCACTATGGTATTCAGACTCCAGTGGATACTTTTAAGTTAAAAATACCATAATTTAAAATACACTGCAAATGGCATCCTTTATTTAACTATTTAAATTTAGGAGGAAAATTTTTTAGATGTCAACTTAAATATGTGGGGATACAAATTTTTCCAAAATTCTTCTAGGAGTTACCAGTTGCCAGTGAGTCGACCCCAACTCATGGTGACCCCATGTGTGTCAGAAGAGAACTGTGCTCTACCGGGTTTTCAATGGCTGATTTTTTGAAGTAGATCACCAGGCCTTTCTTCAGAGGCACCTCTGGGTGGACTTGAAGCTCCAACCTTTCGGTTAGCACCTGAGTGCATTTGAGCCAAAGATGTGAAGCCTGTCTT